TCTCTGCAGTCTGTTTTTACTGGGCTTGTCTTGAAAGCTTCTCTTCAAACTCTTCTATTTCTCTTTACGTCAAACTGAGCTGAAAAACATATTTATATCCAGTCAACCAGAGTTACTGAAAAATAATTAAGATTGTTCCAAACAGAAAATATATCAGATTAAACTTCCTTTGGGAAAATGCCTCACTGCCTGCTCTGAGTAAACACATCACCATTATTAACTCGTGGATCTTGTTTCTGTGTTCTCTCTGTGTATTGAAGAACAGAGAGCCAGGTGCAGCTCCCCACCTTATTGTTTCCTTCCCCTTTTATATTCTCATCATGGATGTATTAAGGCAGTGGCTGAAATAGGTCCACAGTACAGAGTGTTATGCTGTGCTGGCCCTTCTAAATTACAGACAGATTACTGTCCTGGAGGGATTTCTAAACTTTCATTGCAGCATTTCTAGATTTCAGCTTTGGCCACTGGATAAGGAAATATGTCTTGTGCAATGAAGCTGAAGAGAAATTAAATTTTTCTGAAATTAGGCTTATCCTATTTCTGTGGTAGTACATCTATGCAGAAAGAATTCTTCAGGGTATCTTCAAATCTTCGCTGCAGTGTGGCTTGGATGCCAATGCTTGCAATGAAAATCTGTCATATTAGGGAATGCTCACCTCCTGCTTGCATGATTTCCAGTAGTTTTGTGATGAGTTATCTTGCAGAGTGGTGTAGGATTTTAATAAAGTAATCTGTACATTAGCAGGAGTATGTCATGCCAGGGCTTAACCATCCTGGACAGAACAGGAGCCACAAGTCCCAGTGCATTAAAATTCAGTACATTTCAAAATGATGTAAACATAATATATTGAATTAGCTCAGGTAGCTAGTTTATTAGGCAGAGTTATTTTCTTCTCAGTGTTGACATCAAACCTGAGTACAACTAACTCCACACCTTAAAAAATATGCTGTAACATTGTAAAAAATCTTGTAAAGTGTATCGCAAGTGTACAAGTAAGGATTTTTATTTTTGGACTGGGGAGAGGCAATCAGGTTTGGCAGGCTTGGAGTCAAAGTTGGAGTATGCAGAGTATCTCAGATGTGAGCATCCAAAGGCCTCTGTAGAATGTCAGGAGAGCTGTGCTGGGTTTCATTTCTCTCTGAGCATGCATCAAGATTAGATGTCAATGAATGTTTCTGGCTTTATAAGATTACTGGGTTAGTAGTGATTAGCTTGTTTTACCATACATCTTTTTTCCTGATCAATGTGACTTTAGTTTTAAACAATTTTGGCATGCACTGCTGTTTCAGAATTTATACAACTATGAATTTCAGTAGTGATTTTCAGCATTTTCCCCGTGGTTTCTGGAACAACATCCAGAAATGCCTGCTCTGCAACAACATTTTTGGTTTGAAATTGGTAATAATACCTTTTTATAGGCCAGAAAATTACCATCTTACATTTGAATTGAAAGCTGCCACGTACTTTTAGTGGGGAAGGAGCAACCATTTAATTTATCCTCTGTATGGGAGAACTAAAAGCAAGCTATGGGGCTCTTTAAGGCAAAATATATTTTCACTAGTGAAGACCTATAATTTGTCTTATGTGATTTTTCTCATTTGTGTACTTTGTTTATGTCTGTTAGCGTAAGAGTCCTAAATGACTCAAGCTGCCTGACCTGCCCCCTTGCTCAGTGTCTGGGAAGATGGGCCAGTGATGCATAAAACCAACTGGTCACCTGGGAAAGGTGGCTCTTTTTGCAGCAAGGAAATTGTGAGGGCTGTACAGAAAGTGATGAAAGTGTTCTTTACAGCCATTACCTATGCAAAACACCCTAAGTGTATGTGTCTTCAGAATAAGACTGATTGTTCTGGACACCTACCACCAGGAAACAGTCACTTTCCTAACTGTGGATTTTCTGTTCTTTCCAGCGCTAAGAATTCTCTTCCGTGGATCTGCTTGACTTTGTGTGTGCAAGCCCATTTATAGCAGGAGAGGGAAAGCTAATCCCAACTGAAATTCAGTCACCTTTACCTTCTGGAATATATAGAATTTCCCTTGAAGTTTTTACAGAGTCTGCAGTCGCGCAAAACAGACCTACTGGCTCCTTTGATATTTTTAAGCCTCTGCTTCATCAATTGTGCAGGCTTTTGGTTTATTTCCAAGTTCAGTCCAACATTCTGGTTTTGATCTAGAGACCCTGATGGTATTTTTGATCTTTTATCTTGTGCTAACTTTGTTTCCTTGTGTTTTTCTAGTGGTGAAGTTGGAGAGAAATAGGAGAGAAATTACTATTTCAGGGTAAAGATCGCGGTGAGGACACAGGGGGATTTTTAGATTCTGGGGCACTTGGATGGTCTGACAGATCTGGAACTTTGTCTCAGGAAATGCTACTGTATCTTTTCTGTCCAAAGCCAAATACTGAAGTTGTGGGTTTTTTTAAACACATGGATGATAAAAGTTGTTGGAGGAAAGGTTTCTGTTTTATGGAATAGGAGGAAGAATAGAGGAGTAGATGGGCTTTGTGTGGATTCTCAGAAGAGCAAATCTTTTAGTTCATGAACAGCAGGAAAAGTGGAAATCACATTAGCCAGGATGGTTCAGTCAGTTGCTAGTTAAACGATAAAAGTTTCACAGATAAATTTGTATTTTTGTATAAATGGTGTGAGAAGAATAAAAAAGGTGCCTCCATTTGTTCAAGGAGTTATTTCCAGACTGATTTTATAGTTTATGTGTATAGTTATTTATCTGGGAGGGAGTAATTTATATTTGGGGGGAACTTGTACTGAAAGCTAATTTCTCGGGTGGGTGCTAGTACTGTTAATTTATTTTTCTGAGGTAGCTTTCAAGTGTTAGGATTTATTCTGTGTATAAACACAGTCAAGGTAAATCTGTATCTTTAAATAGAAGCAGATTCTGACTATTACATGAAAGTCATGCTTTGCCTTCTATAGTCTAAAGGTTTTATTTGGCTTTCCCTGGGAATGAAAGAACAATGTATATGTTCCTTGTCCCAAATTTCAGTGTACTGAGTGGCCCTTTGTTTCCATGAAAGAGGAGATGTGTATGTGGTGGTCTTACCTAACCCAGCTTCTGATACCCACGTTTTAATTGAGTTCCCAGCTAAATATATGCTTTCAAGGGTAATTAAGGTCTCTAAAGATGAGAGGAAGGCTGCACAGCTCCAAGATTACAAAGTCATATAGTGCTATGGAAGATTAACATATGAACAACCTCCTTTCAGAGGTAGTATTTTCTTGATATTTTTTTTTACTTATAAAAATAGAAAATTTTAAAATATTAATTCATACACTTTCTTCTCTGAGTTCCCATACATGCACATAGAAACACAGAACCTGCACTTGGCAATTCCTTTGATTTTGCTCTCTCTTCACTTCTGTGTTTGCTTCTCCTTCTCATTCCTGCCCCTCAGAACTTAAAAGTGTTTATGTCAAGGTGTTATTCCCAGGCAGGAGTTGCAAGGGTATGATACTGCTATTGTTAGTGCCATGCTAGAAAAGAAATGTTGAGCTGGGAAAGAAGCACAGTAAGGACTTGATTGAACTCCCATAGGTCTTGCATTGAAGATTCTCATTATCTTGTACAGACTTTTGTTCATCTTGTGCTGTGTTGTAGCCTTAGTGACTGCAGGGTAGAAATTCAGCTGCTTCGCTTTAGTGTGTGGCGTGTAGATTATTGAATCAAAAATGTGACAGTTATGCATTTGCTATTCAGGGGAGAAAAAAAAAGAAGAAAGGACAACCTTCATCAATTTAAAGTTTTTATGAGCGAAATAGTGAGATATCATGAAAACAAGAACAAGAGCTCTTGTTTCCAGTCAGATAAAATGGGGTAAAATCACCTAGATATGTTTTATGCTAAAGGATGAAACAGTCTTGAAACCACCATTTCTCTACGTGTGTGTTAGCATGCATGAAGTAATTCCATTGATGTAGATTCTCTGTTGAGATACACAGGCACTCAGGTAATCTTTTTCAGTAAATCGGAGAATTTATGTGTATCTTCTGTGGAAGTTCTGTCGTGCTCATTGTATGAAAGCACTGACTGAAGCCGCAGCGCGGAGAGATGACGCTGTTGATAAGTGCTACAGCTAGGAGAAGGAGCAGGTCTTTATAAAGACACTTCTGTGTGAATACTCCTGGAAAGAAAAAAAAAAAAAAAAAAAAAAAAAGAAAAAAAAAGAAAAAAGCACAGCGAAGTAATTAGCGATGGCCGCGTGCGTGTTAATTGGCCGAGCCCGCCTAAGGGCCCGCGCAAGGCGGGGGAGCGGCGCCCCCTGCCGGCCCCGCCGCGGGGATGGGGGCACAGGGAGCTGCTTTTGGGGGCGAGTCGCGGTGCCAGGTCTGCCCAGGGCATCGGCGTGGGATCCTGACACCCCTAAAAGCTGGTTCGACGGTCTTTGAGATAACTGGAAGTCTTGCCGGCAACTTTGAGTGTGCTTTGGCTCCGGCCCGCAAATTCTTGAGACTTCTAGGAGTTTGAGGCGCTTTTTTTCCCCAAGAATATTAAACTTTTTATCTTCTGTCCGTTCCCATTCATAGGCAAAAAATGCATATAAATGGTATCTAAATATACATAAATATATATAGTATACGTACATAATGTATATAGAACATATATAAAGGATATCTATAAATGTAAACAAAGCATGTATAACAAAAATAGTCTTACTTTGTCTTATAAATACTAGATCTGCAAAACTGCAGTAAAATATTCTTTATCTGCTTGGTCAGATTTTATACAATTAGGTGTAGTTCTATTTATTCACCACTGATACATGGTATTTGTCCCAGAAATCCATCAATAAAACCACCTCTTCTGTTCTCATTTTTCTCTTCTTCTGCATTGTCATGCTCCAGTCACAGTTTTGAAACTGCAGTACTTCATCCCTTAGTTGGGTGCAGTAGTCCTCATTAATATACAAGTATAACTTATTTTTCTGTAGTTTATTTAAAAATGAATATGTTTTAATATGTTTTTCCTTTCTTTCAAAATTTAGGTGGAGAACAGGCCAAAGTATTATGGAAGAGAGTAAGTATTTTCCTCTTTTATATATTTGTTGGGTGTACCCAAAAGTTATTGTTCTAGAACTAAAAAAGAAAGCCACAGTGGAGGTCTAATAAAATATTTTATTGTACCTTTCACTTCAACTAGGAGCCAAATATATTGAAAGCCTAATGATTTAGCTATGTTACAGTCCAGTACTGCTGCTCACAATCCATGGATTATGCTGCTGTGTGAGCCTGCATGTTTATTTTGCTTTTCTCATGAGAGTTTAAGAAAAGAAATATTGTCTGAGCTCCTTCATCCTTTTTTGTTTTTTTGGGTTGTCGCTTATACGTCCCAGTGGTCCTGCAATGGCCTAGGGAGGAGAGAAGCAGCTTGTCTCTCTCACTGCCTTTTTGTGTATGTTCCTATGCTTTCACCATCCTACACAGCTGTGGAAGTGTGTGTGTATCCTACTGCTGTGTAAATGCTGTTCTCCCTGATGAAGTTACAAGGTTCAAAATACACAAAGAAGAGGTGTATTTTTATTGTAAGGAATGTAACAAACCACTGGAGTATAATTCCTTTGTGCTTAGCAGTCTTCTTGCCCATAAATAGCTTGGAAGGGGCTGGGTCATGCACTGCAGGGAGATTTGGGCAGGTGAAGTTGAAGGACAGAGCCACTGCAGCAGCCACCCAAGTAAAGGCATTTGGCCTTTACTAGAGTAATCTGCTGAGACCCCAGCCCTTATCTCTTACTTAGATCCCATGTTCTATTTTTCCTTCCATCCCAGACCGTCTGTGTTTAATGATCCTTTTCTACCATCAGAAACCTCAAGAGCCTGTAGCTTTGCCCTCAATTACCCAAGTTTCATTTTTAAAATATTATCTTTGACAACGAGGCATTGAGATCTAGCCACTAGAGTACTACAGAGCTGAAGACAGTACCTAGTTGAGTAACACATCACACTTCCTACAGCAGGACTTGTAAAACCATTGCCACAGCCTCTTATCCAGGGACCTACCTGGGTTTGTGGAGCAGCAGAGCTAGCACAAACTGTAAGATGTCACCTTGGTGAACCTGTCCAGGCAAGATCACATTAGTTGTTATCATTCAGAAAGAAGATTTCAGAAGCACTGGGGAGGTCCTATAAAACCAATTGACTCAGTGTTCAGCAGTACTTGGAAAGAGAAACAGGGATTTTTTTTTTTAGGTAAAGAAACTGAAAAAAAATATTACTATATAAATCTGTGACATGGCTGCATTTTAAATAGGGCACATAGTTCTGGTGCCTCGCTACCCCTTCCTCCTCCATCCTTTTTGCAAAGGTTGTAGAAGAAGTCAAAGGTATGGCAAAGGGCAAAAATGGTGGAGTAAAGGGATGCAGCTAGGAATGCAGCTCTTCCCACAGGATATCCTTCTCCAGTTCATTGCCATGGGCAGCCGCAGAGACCAAAAGCACCAAGATCTTAAAGGGTTTACAAGTGAGATTCTCAAATTCATGAAGGGTAAGGTCACAACTGATCAGACACAATTGCGGCTAAACCAGTGATGGATGGACAGGGATGTGAAGTGATAGAAATATGTCACTGCTTCCTATAGTCCTTCTGTAAGCATTTCTTGTCAGTTGCTGTCACAAGCAGACATCTGAGTTCAGGGGAACTTGTACACTGTACAAGCTGTTTTCATGCTCTTAAAAAAAATGTACAAAAAATATCCATAAGAAAGCTTGGATTACCCAGTGCTTACCACCCATGGATAAAGAAATTTCACAGGTGCCCCGAACATCCTGTCCCAGTGATTTGTTAAATTGATCACAGGGAGAACTTTTGTCCTAATATCTAACCTGCAACCTGGTATGGTTTATAATACATTTCTTTTGGGGAATAGTTTATGCTGATTATTTGTAACTAGAATTATGAATTACCTTGAGTTCACTCATAAATTCATGTTTAAATTATGTCATTTAGGGGATGCTCATTTCAATTTGGATGGAGCAGTAACTGAGTGTGTTCCCCACCTGTACAGACAGAAAAGATAATCAATTTATGTTACTTTTAATAAAAAGTCACTCTGAAAAGGTCACCAAAACCTAATATTTTCAACATACATTAGTTATGAAAAGACCACATAAAGAGAATGGAACAACAATTGCATTTACATCCAACGTGTTTTTCTTCTCTTTCACTTCCTCCCCAGAGGCAGTGTTAGGGATGTGCCACTTCATATGTATTGTCAGAAAAGAGAAAATGCTGAAGGCCAGTACCTTTTAGTGCTTTTTTTCAAACAGCAGCAAAAATAGAAACTTTCAAAACTGCTGAAGAGACCCTCAGAGACTTATCAGCTAGCAAAATGTGCGTAGGAGTTAAAACTCAAACTGCTGTCAAGACTGCATTTATACTGATGGAGAAATCACTGCTAAATATTGATTATCATAAGGTTAATTGTGCATCCTAGGTTCTCTTTCTTTCTTAAAATAGCAATGACAAAAGAATCAAAGAAGTATTGCTTTTCTCTAACACTGTGGAACTCATTGGAATGAAGAAAACAGGGTTTTTTCAGTAGTATTCTGTACCTTTCTCCACTTTAATATATTCAGAATAGAATTTTGAACAATTGCTTCCATTTTTGTCTCAGTTTCCCTTACAAATTTGAGTAAGCATAGTTAATATAAAAATTAAGCAAACTGATAATAATAAAGACCTATAATTTTAATTATATTTAAATATTTAAGTATATATATATATATATAAATAATTCAGTGTTTTAAAATGCCTTTGTGCCTAGTTTTCGATTCTGTTGTAAGGCCTCTAGAAAGGAATCAACAAATAGGGGTGTAGACTGATAGAAAAGTTGTGAGAAGGCAGGGCATTTACAGAAAATAATCTTTGGGAGCTGTTGATTGTTATACTGACTGAAACTGCATATACAGTGTAATTTTTGGTTTGTCTCTACACTGAACTTGTCCAGGCTGGATGGCTGTTCTGCTGCTTGGACACTCTCCTGATGGCTTGGACCACGATGCTCTAGAGTGCTGAAGTTTTCAAATGGTTTCCAGGGTGGAGGAGGACGTGTTTCTGGTTGGATTGTTGTATAAGTCACTGAAATGTCTTCCCTTAGGTTTCACGGGATCATTTCTCGGGAGCAAGCAGATGAAATACTTGCTGGCGTAGAAGGAGCATATATCCTCAGAGAAAGCCAGCGGCAACCCGGCTGCTATACTCTTGCTCTCAGGTAAATGCTGCTTTAATAGAGGCTTACAGTTCAAGTGTAAATGTGTTTAATGGAGGGGATTCTGTCAGCTTGTTGTAGAAATACATTGAGAAGCTTGGGATGCTGCTGCTCAGAGAAGTAAGAGTTTGTTATTCAACTGTAACCCTAGCTGCAAACCCACTGCCCCTCACAGGTGCATTTCCTTGAAAATATTTCCACTCCTCGCTTAGCTGTGTCATTCAAAGCCTGCCCATGAAGTCCTAGAGATGCTGTGGGCTAGTGGCAAGAGGAGAAGATAGCTCAGTTGGGTTTTAACAAACTCATTGGCAATACCTTGCAATTTTTATAGTATTATTACTTCTGTGAGACATGCTCAAACTAAAAGTCTGCGTTTTTACCCTTCTGCTGGTAAACTAGGAGGAAAAATCCTTTAAGGAATTACCCCAAGTAGCTGTGATACAGTGCTGAAATCTTGCTTAGAATTTGTATTGATGTGCAGATGGTAAAGCTGGAAAAGCTGGTGAGTCATGCCAACTAAAAAGTGGTGTAAATTAAAACCAACTTCTGTCAGCTGAAAAAGAACAAACACAATTTTTTAGGGTTTTGGAGAGAGATTTCAAAATAATATATTGAAAAAATACTAAAGGATGAGAATTGTGGCAAAATGCCTATTGTTTTGATACAACAACATGATTTCTAAACCCATCTGGATCATAATTTGTAGAATCAAAAACTGAATTTTATTATAAATTGTGAATTCATATGAAAAATGTGGGTGAAAAATAAGAGGCTTAAACACTTTCATTTGAATGCCTCATAAAGTATGCAGAGACATACAGTTTTGATGCAATATAAGGACCATTTAACCCAATATAATATCTTTGAATCCTCTAATCAATAGTGGGATTCCAACCGCAGTGTTGCAAACTGAATGTGCTACTACAGCACTTCGATTTTTAAAACACTTTTAAAAATCTCAATAGATTACACCTGCCATAAATAGGACCAAAGTTTTCCCACATAACTTTGGGTATTCAGTTGGGCCCTGAATTAGGAGCTTGCTCTCCCTAGCTTCCTAAGAGAGCGTGATTCAGGCCCCTAGGATTTGAATTACTTGCTAGAGATGACCATCTCTCTTCTTGGACTGTAAATATGCCCATGGTGGTTAAGCACAGGCTTTCTACACCTCAAAAATGCTTCAGGATGGAAGAGTCTTTAACACAATTACGCATCCCAATTGCTGTGCTAGATTCCATAGGATTTAGATTTAATCACATACATCTGGGTCATGTAGGTTGTTGTGGAGACTTGGCTTCAGTTCTGTGGTCCAGTCCCTGTGATGGAGTCAAGTTTGGGTTCAAACTTGGGTTGGTCTCTCCACAGAGGTCCAGTTGCAGCTGTGTGCATGTTCCATATGTAATCCAGACATATAGGTTTGTCAGTGCAATTACCTCCTGAGTGTTTTACCAGTCTGAATTCTCTCTCTCTTCCTTCTCTCCCTCTATTTTTTCTGATGTTTGCAGATTTGGTAATCAGACCCTAAACTACAGGTTGTTCTATGATGGGAAGCACTTCGTTGGGGAGAAAAGGTTTGAATCAATCCACGATCTGGTTACAGATGGCTTGATAACATTGTATATAGAAACAAAGGCTTCTGAGTATATTTCCAAAATGACAACAAACCCCATATATGAGCACATTGGATATGCCACTTTGCTTAGAGAAAAAGTGTCCCGGAGGCTGAGCAGAACAAAAAATGAATCAAGAAAAGCAAGTGTAACAAGTGAAGAAAATACTCCAGTTGAAAAGGTAAGTATTCATTTTCAAATTTTGGTAATTAATACCAGTCTTTCTATCAAATCCGAGAGGAATACTTTAATAAGTATCCCACGGAAAAGTTTACATCCTGTTAATATGATACTGGCTCCAAACTCATATTTGACTGGAGCTTATGGTGAAAACTTTCCAGTAAGTTCCTAATGCAAATGTTTTCACCATGTAAATATAAGGGTATATACCATTTAACTGAAGAATTGCATCTAAAATTGACCACAAGTTATATTTATCCATGTAAACTCAAGCATTTTCCACAGTAGGATTGTGAATGTGGTTCCCACTGACCCTTCACCACAGCTCAAGTTTGTTACCTTTCTGTACGTGGTCCAAAGCTCCTCTTCTCTGCCAAGCCTTTGGTGGATGGGTCGCAAATTGAAATATTGTGTGTATTCTTCCCTTTCTTCTCATGGATCTGAAATTGGGATGTTGTCTGTTTGCTTCCATTTCTTCTTGCTCTTTGCATTTGAAGTGGGCTTTCCTTGATCTCCTTCTCTCATGCACCTGTATCCCATAGCATTATATGGACTAGGACTTACTTATATGATGATAAATTGAGAATTCTGTCCAATTAGAAACCATCTGAAGATGTAAAATTAGGAATTATTTTACATATGAGAAGCAGCTTTGTAAGCAGTGACATGTGGATGTTTTCATATCCCAGGTGGTAAGGCAATAAGAAGTGTCAAAGAAAACTTTTTTTTTTAGTCTGGTGATTGCACTGAATTGACTTACTGACATTTGTTAAGTGCACTTCTGCAGCATGACTGTTGATTTTAGTGTTCAGTATGCTGGCTAGCTAGTTGGGAACTAGATCCAGTTTGGGAAGCAGGGAGTGAATTTGTCATCATACAGTCATGATGAATATGAAAAGAGGTTGGCTTTTCTGTATGTATCCTCATCTCTCTTGGACATTTCTGGCAGAATTATCTGTTGGGTTCACATATCTGCATTGGCTGATTATATACTAGTTTGGATTGCTCAGTAATAATAATTGCTTTAATAAATGACTTAACATGTAAATATCCTCTGTAACAAATGAATTCCATTAACAATGACATTTTTTAGGGAAGGTGTACTGACACAGGGAAGGCCTTTGGACACTGGTACAACAACAAGTCCTCCATTCAAGTTTTATTTCAAAATTTATCTACTGATGACAATAGATTTTGGTTTAATTGAATGGTATTTATTATCTAAGAGGAATAGATGCCATTGAGACATCCAATGCTCCTTCAGTTGATTCCTGTGATTGGACACTAATTGATATTTAGTTCTGTAACAGGTATAAGAAAGGGAATTTTTGCTTTATTTAGGGCACAATAAGAAATAGTCATAGTGCAGTGTGACAAACTTTTTCTGTGTAGGTGTTTTTGTGTAAGAGAACGGTCCAGAGGTCGTTCTGGAGCTGGACCATCACTGGGATGATTGTAAACATTGTTACATTATATAATAATAATGGCCAGTCTTCACGAGTGAAGATCCGGGGAAGGTCTTTACACCTTCCAGCCTGCGGAGCCCCTGGTGGTCTAGTGGTAAAGGCGCGGCGCTATCACCGCCGAGACCCGGGTTCGATTCCCGGTCAGGGCCACTCCCGGGCAGGTGGGGCTCGTTAGCCCTTAAAGGTAACCCACCTACGTCCTAAGGACCTCGCTGCCACCGTCCAAGCTCGCTTGGCCCCGGCAGATGAACCTTAGGATTAAAGGGTGGGCTCAGTTCCGCGCACACTGTGTCTCACCTAAAAAATCCAATGCGCAGGCTGGAAGGTGTAAAGACCTTCCCCGGATCTTCACTCGTGAAGACTGGCCATTATTACATTACGGTAGTGTAATAAAGCAGTCATGGCAATTGAAGATCATGCTACATTCTCTAGGAAATAAATCAGGAGAATTTATTTTGTGCCAGGAAAAATACAGTTTCAAAATTGTTTCATTTTACTTACAGTTCTGGCAGTTGAGGAGCAATGGTCTTTTGTGGTTCTCAAAGGCCTCAGAAGGGTTTGCTCTAGTACCATATATTTCACAGAAGATTGTGTTTTCTGTTGTGCTTCGGGTTGGATGTCATTCCTAAGGTTGATACTGTAAAAACTCTTTTAGACCAACAGAAGGCAAACTGTTGCTGAAGGGACCTGTGCCCTCTCTCCTTCATCACAGCCTTTTTGCTGACCTACAGTTCTATGCAGCTACACAATATGAAAATGGTGTAGACTAGAAATGGCCCCAGATTAAAACTGGAGAAGTTTAGAAGAAAAAACATGTGAATTTTCAGCCAGATCTGCTACCTGATCCATCTCATATGAGTGGAAATGCAGCACAGAGGAGAGTGTAAGACTCCTCTCTGATGACTGCTCAAAAAATTGTCATCTTGGCTTAAAGTGAGTGGAGTTCTGCATTCTTAGTTCCAGATACTTGTGCTTGAAAATGTTTGGACTTTGTGTGTAACACACTGTCAATAGTGAAAACACACCTCCGGACCTCATTAGTGACTGTATTAGGTCTTCTTTTGCACTGCAGCTGAATGAAATTTAAATGTTTAGAATATTATTTACCTCTGAGGTGGTTCATGATGTGAAAGGCAGTACCCCAGGTCCTTACCCTACAAGGACTGGTGCTCATACAGATTTCTGTACCTGCAGGCAGTAGCAGCCTGCTAGGCTGGGCTTTATGGCTGTGCTGTCATGTAAAAATAGCTGGCTTCAGTTAAGCCACTACACTGTTGGCAACCCTTTCTACCTTCTTCCCACTGAGGGGAAGAGCAGAAGGAGGAATAGCAGCTGTTTCTAACATATTTTCCTTGCCAGGAGAAGTAGGAGCAATCACAGCTATAAGAGGAGTGGGCTAAACAGGCAAGAGAATCTGCTCACAAGCTGAAGACCTGAAGTAGCAGCTGAAGCCTGTGTTGATGATTAGGACTACCGGTGGCTTTCTCTACTGGCACCAATACTTTTCCACCATTTCATGTAAATCCATGTGAAAAAAGATCACGTCAACTAAATTATTAGCAACTGAAAAAAAAAGTCACAGAAGTCTGTATGGTGAAGCCTACCATAGCTGCTTTTGATTCTTGTGTTCCTGGGGGAAGCTTATGATAGGTTTGATAGCAAAGACTCGGGAGTCATCTTCCCATTTGTTAGTGCTAACATATAGGGGCTAAGGAGGATAAAGGGAATGTAATGTTTGTTTTTATATAAACTTTAGAAGTCCTCAAATACAAGAATATTACAGGGAAGTAATAGTTCAGTGAGAGCTGTATCAGATGTTTTGCTTGAGGCTGCCATGTGTTGTACAGCATTTTAGGCAAAGGCCATGGTTTGCCCAGAAATCACAACCTTCACTCACTTCAACCCCTAGAAGTAAGTGAATGAATATTCAGGATGGCATTTTTCTGCAAAGCAAATTCTTTGCTGCAAGTGTGAAAAATCATTGATGTTTTTTTCTCTGGCCAGTTTAACAGGTAAAATGTTGTTTTCCAGTTACTGAGCCAGTTTATTTGAAAGTGCTGCCTAGAGTATTTTGAATGTTTCAGAAATGATGTGAGAAAGCCATACATGCAGGACAGAAACTTTCATTATTTCTCAGGAATAAGATGAGAATTCAGTGCTCTAAGGTTAAGCATCAGTACTCCTCTTACCAGATTAGGCTCTTTACAAGTGAGATTTTGTTTCATACTGAAACCAATTCCAGAGTGTGAAAGTGCAGCTGAAGGCATTCATCTCCTTGCTGGGTTTGTTAACACCATCCAGGGATTCTGTTCGTTCTGTCACCTCCCGTGTTGACAGCAGAGATTATTCGATGTCTCAGTCACTCCAGCGCCTCCGCTCCCCGTGGGGTAGGTCAGTGGAGGGGGGCCACCAAGGCACAGGATGGCAGGAGGAGCCAGCATTCAGATCAAATGTCTTGGTACTGCCTGGGGTACCTGTCTGTTCCCATAATAATAATTTCTTTGAGGTTGTAATTAGTGGAGTCATGCCCATTCCAGAAGGGAGATGTGATGATTGGGCTGGATGAAGCTGTTGTTGTTCCCGTCTTCTTATCCAACGCTTTTTTGCAACAGGCCTAAGAAAACATTTATTCTTTAAAGTATTTAATGCAGGTGTTTCATCCAGAAGTTATTTCTGTCTGACTTTAGGAAGCTGCTTGATTTTTAGACACAGTTTCCAAATTTTGGTCTGAATAGTTTAACAGATGTTTAATCTAAAAGGAGCCATGATGATTTTAAGGAATGAAGTGTTGTGGGAGAACAGCATGCTGCAAATACTTTCTTACTCATGTAGGCAATTGTAATTTTAATGTTATCCAGCTTCAACAAGGATTTTGGGTAGAGAAATAGGGTTTTTTGTACAAAGAACATTTGAAGATCACATGTTGTCTGTTTAGGTTTATGATTTAAACTTGGGCAAGTTGTGATCACCTGCTTTATGTTTTTTTCTGTTTATGGAATGCTGTACTTGGTGGGCAAATAAACACATACTAGAAGATGTAGGGCAGATAAGTACCTGGTACTGGTACATACTGTAATTAATTGCCAGTAGTTCAAGTTAATAGTGAATATAGAAGTGTAACTTGCTGTAACCAATTAATCTTCACATTTAGGAGAAAAAAATTGCAGTAGACTGTCAGTAAAATCTGTAGTTCTGAAACATTTATCACTATTACATTTTCCTGCAAATGCTGCTCTTAACTGCGTCAGCAGTCTTTGTATCTCAGACAAGGGGGAAAAAAATCTTCCATTCTTATTTCTAATCCTACCTCAGCAAGTGTAATTTGGGAAAATATATTCAAAGAATTGAAATGCTGGAAATAAATGCAAGCTGGAGTTTCGTGAATGCTCTGATCAGGT